AATTTCCAAATAAGTTTGTAAGTTGCCTAAGACAAGCCCAATCTCTTTCATCTCATGGCTTCATTGCTTAGCATTGTTTGTTTTATGTAGGAGCCCACAAAGAATAGATTTTGGCCCTTTAAATGTAAATTAGATTCAATAATTATTTTAAAATGACATATTGAGCTATCTTTTAAATCTCAAGCATCGGTCGCGTGCAACTCCCTATCATGTAGAGAATAGAGGATTATTTATAGATTACCGAGAGTATCATCCCTGACATGAAATACTCTATTGAATGACACATATTGATTGATCATAGGCAATTCTTTTATCAATTAATATCATTAATGATGTCAATATCAAACACATTTATGCTCATTCGATTCATCTCATCATGACGCTTGATTTGAATAATATAAACAAGCAAGGTTTAGATATCATTTAGGCTTCGTTTGAGATGACTTTTTTATTGCTTCTTAAAACATCTTTCTTGTATAAAAATTTTAATTTTTAAACTAGAAAGCTATTTTAAAAAGCAATAAGAAAGCGTCACAAACGAAGCCTTAGTATTCAAATTAATGTCCTAAAGTTACTAGTTATACTTCAAATGTTTGATTTGGAATCATCTAGATTCCAATCGCATCACTTTTGATGTCGTTGAGTTCATCCTATCAAGACGTTCAGCTTGACTAATTAACATTCGAATTTAAATGTTAATTTTTAAATAAAAGATGCATCGAGGTTTAGTCCAAATCTGTCATCATGGGGTAGACAAAGAGTAACAAGCAAAAATAAATGCTACATATAAAATGGTTGATAGTTGTGATAAGAGTAACAGAGATTGCACACACACCGAGGAAAAAAAAACTTCAAAGCATATAAATCAAAAACAAATTTCAGAGCTTTAGATCGCCATTTTTAACCTTTTTCACAACAAACAAAAATTTTAATCAATCTTCAACCAACAAAAAACTATAATTTATCATATCATCAGCTGATGAGAACAGAAAAAAAAAAAAAAAAACTGTTTTAGCTTCTCAAGTGCTTGATATAGTGCCACGTTATAACATTTTTGGTACTCCAGCAAGCTCATGACAAACCTCCGAGGCTCTGAAGTTCATCCATGCAAACATTTTTGGAGATTACTTTGTTATATTTTAGTTTTTCATCTATTAGGTTTTGATATATCATAAAAAAATTAGCTTCATCAGGCATGAATCTCAAGGTAAAATTAAGTTGGAAATTTTAAAAATTAAATCGGAGATCATTTGAATTTTGATTTTAGCAAATTTAGAGTCGAACTAAACGCCTCAAAAAGACGGAACCAACAACACCAAACTAGACTCAATCCGAGCCCAAATGGGTCCAAATCGAAGACTCGAAGCGCATTTGGAAGGTTCAATCCATAAATTGGATTACCAAACAGTTTCCAAATGTGACGTGCTTATAGTTTAATCGAGCGGTTCGACGAGACGAGTCAAACGAGCCCAAGATCGCCGAATCCTGATATCATTAAGACATTCAAATGTCTAATAAATGGTCAACGATTAAGGGATTTAACATCGGCCGTCTATTCAAACCACTCTCAATTTACCCTTGATCTTCCTCCTATTTATTGTACATGTCACTCTTAGAAAACTATAAATAGTCCGTCATTCTTCATTGAAGGGGGAGGAAGAAGGGGCCAAAGGAAGAAGAGAAGAGAAGGAAGTAAGGAAACAACAAGAGAAGGAAGAAAATGAAAAGAAGGAAGAGGCTATCTTACCACCATACTCTTTCTCGACCACTGTCAGACTTCCACCTCGCAGCCTACAGACACCGGAGTTCTGCCTGATCACCAACTGACACTAGAGTTCTGCCCGACAACCGACTGATGCAGGAGTTTAGCCCGGTCACAACTGACGCCGGAGTTCTGCCCGACAGTTGACCGACGCCGGAGTTCTGTCCGACCACTGATTGATGCCAGAGTTTTGCCTAGCTGCCGACTAACTCCAGAATTGTTTAAGTAGCCAGATTTTTACTTGACACCGGACATCTACTCGTCACCGAACTTCTGCTCATCACTGGACTTCTACCCGATGTCGAACTTCTGCTCGCCGTCAAACTTTTGCCCATCGCCAGACTTTCGTTGGACTTCTACTCGATGTCAAATTTAGGCCAGTCGTCGAACTTTCATTGGACTTCATCTAGACACCAACCTTCCTCTGTCGTTGGAATTTTACCCATCGTCGGACTTCTACCCAAAGCAAGAATTCCGCTCGTCGCTAGATTTCTACTCGGCGCTTGACTTCCGCTTGTCACTGTCCTTCGGACCTCCTTCACGAGATAATAATCTTTCTGACCACTATCACCCGCCGACTACAATCATTTTGACCTCCATCGCCCATGGACTACGGTCCTTCTGACCTTCGTCGCCAGACAACGATCCTTCCGACCTCTGTCGCCCACCGAATACATTCCTTCTGACCTTTGTTGCCCACCGATTATGATTCTGCCAACCAAACAAACATATCAATATTGATTCATTCAAGTCCCATTATGTAATGCATGTTATATGATGTATATTTATTACATCAAGTCAAGGCCTTCTCCCGAGGAAGGGCCTCATTTGTAATCAACTATAAATAATAGTGGATTCATTGAAACTGGGTCAGGCCCTATGATTTTTCCCCTTTTTTTTTTCAGAATTTTCCATGTAAAAATTTTAGTGTCTCTTATGAATATTGCACCCTATCTTTTATCTGATTGTGTGTTGAATCTTCATATAAATCTAAGACGTTAAAATTTATATTTCTCTATTGCCACGGATATTCTAGGACGCAACAGGTTTAATTAATATCAGTTGATTAAAAATATAACTGTTTATGAATATGAAATAGTTGGTCATCTCTCATAATCTTTGAGTCGGGAATAAATTTGATTGATTTGTTAAATTTTGATATTCCTATGATTTATCTTTAACAAGTGGTATTTAGAACTGATGGTTTATATTGGATCAATCATATATTAATTAAGTA